TCTTCTTCCCATATCTTTTTCCAGTGAGTGCAGGTAGGATCTCTCTATCTCCTCTTGTTACACTGTAGTGTGTGTGGGCCAGGAATTCAATGTTCGAAGCTCTGGATGTTCTTGCCTCTCCTCGTAGTCTCCTCACTCTCCTGGTCTGTGATGAGTCGGCAGCGGAAAAGGCCAATGTTATTTTTTGACAGTTTAAGTTATCATTTAATTATTTTGTTTTTAATAAATATTTTATAATTATAATTTTATAACAAAAGTATAAATTTATAGTTATAATTTAAAATTGCAATTATTTTTGTAATCTCAAAAAGAAAGACTGTCAATATTTGAAAGGACATGATTTTATGTTAATAGTTAAATATGCACTTTAAAATTCCCTGTTCAATTTGTTCATTTTGACTTGACCATTATTTATTTTTGGTTGTGAGCCTAGGCTTTAATGGCTGAGGCATCTCTCCAGCCCTTGACCATTATTTATAAGAATGATTAGCTGGTAAATATGTTTGTTGTTATCACTTTTGGGCCTCTATGATACAAGGTAACAAGTATCACAATTTGATAGTTCTCTATCTTTGATACATAGTCTTATATGTAGCCAATAAAGACCAGGTTAGAGAAATTTACACATATGTATATACAAATAAATAAACTTTATTTCATTTTATTATTCCCAAGGGTTAAGATGTACAAACAAGGAATAAAATTAAAATTATTTTCTTTGGGGATGATTTATGTCTTAATTTCCACCTGCCCTATAATTAGAAATTTTGAACTCTGTAAATGTTTTTAAAGATAAAATTATTGCCTTGCTAAACTTCAGAAATTACATCATTAACCCAAAGACCTTTCTCAGCCTAGAACAACATGGTTGGCACAAGTGTCTGTGCACACACAGACAAATAAATAAAGGGGAAAGTTTAAAATAATTTGAAAATGATTTATTGTCGGCCACCCCTGCAGTTAGGAATTCAAGTATTATTACTTTACTTCAGTGCAGCAGGGGAGGACAGCAACTTGCTGTGGGCTAAAGGTAAATTATGATCTATTGCAGAGGAGGAAGGGGATGAGCTGAGGAAAAGGGGAAGGATTGGGGAGTAAACAATGTTTTCTGAACTATTGCTTCACATAATGCCTTTCAAATTTTGCCTTGACCTCTGCTGGAAAATCCCAGTGTAAATGGGGAGGCAAATGACATTCTTAAATCTTCGATAGTTAAGGGCGTACACGATTGGTATGGGGAGGGTGATCAGGGAATGCGAGTACAGTGCCCACTAAGCTGTGTAAAGTCACACGTTTCCCTGCTTCAAGTGCTTGATAACCTCATCCCAGATATACTCTGTTTTAGTTCTAGGGATCAGTTAACACACAAAGTCCTAGGATGGCTCTTTTAAAGTAATCTCCTCTCACAATGTTTGTGGGTTAAACCCTTCATGCAAACAAACTACAGACTTCTACATTAGAATAAAATACCTACTTTCTCATAATTGAAATAAGCAAAGTGAAAGCTCATTTCCCAAACACAAAGTGATACAGGCAAGGAAAAAGGAAACCCTAACCTCTACCAATGATATTTCATTAGTTAGCATTTCATTAAATCACCCTAAACCCTGGAAGTTCATCTACTTCTCAGTGTAAGTGAGAAAACTGAAGTCTACCTAGAAAATAGACATATTTCTCTATGTGAAGACCAGCTCACATGTAAATTTTATCTAATGGCAGTGCCTATTTTTTTTTTACCTCACTACTCTATCATTTGGCTGTTTTTACAAGCATCTCTTATAAAAAAATCATATCCTCTTTAATAATTAAATAGCTAAACAAGTTTTCTCTTGACTTTAGGTTCAGTTCCACAAATGACTGTCACCTACCTTCGAGCAGCTGCACGTGCAGGAGACACAATGTTGGTTCTGGAGGAAGGTGTGGACTGGCACCCTGGGGATGAGGCTGTCATCATAGGTGGAATGGGTATTGAAGGTGCTGGACCAATGGAAGAGGTTGTTGTTGTGGAAGCTGTGCACAATGCCGACCTCCATCTCAGGACTCCCTTGAGGTACTCAAATTTCAGCTTGGATCGGTTTACATGGGGGAAAATGAAGTTTTATACAAATTGGGCTCTGGACATTTATCTCTTTATGAGATACAGTAGCATTGCATAGTGCTGGAAAAGAAAACAATAACAAATGAATTTTAGGAAGATGAAAATTTCTTGAGTACTTTCTCTAGTGAGACCCTGGGCTCTCTGCCTTAGAAGTGGTCAGTGTGTGATTCCCAATGCTATGCACGGTATTGTTTGCAAATGTATACATGGCTTATTATTGGGTATTTGAGTTTCTAAAGAAATAGACACTCCCTAAAGAAGAATCTGTTGACTATTTCTAATAAGATGCAGAGTGATGTTCTCAAGTGCATCTTTCTCTCTTCTCTTTTTTTTTTTTCAGACATTCTTACAACTTCACAGGGAACTGGGTAGCTGGAAAAAATCATACTTTGAGAGCTACTGTGGCTCTTCTCAGCAGGAACATTACCATCCAAGGAAATCTTACTCTTGAGAGGCTAAAGCTCCTCCATTCCTGTCAGAAGGCCAATGCTGCTGAAGGTAGAAATGCAGTTTGATGGAAAACCCAAAGAGTGAATAACTGTTCTCACAGCCGGACAATATGTGGCAGGGCTGTGGTTGGTCTTCTTCATTAGAACACACTGTTAGTCTTCAAGTGTCAATATCCTTCTATATGTTCCAGAATCCTCTTGGTAGCTTAACACGTCATTCTTTTCCCCATTTCCAGGTAAAAGAAATAGACAAAAAGCAAAGGAAATAATTTAATTATTTGACCCAGGAAAACTTGTGTTAATGAATTAAGCCTGGATAATTGGGATGCTGTAATAATTTTTTTAGTCCCAGGCTTCTCCTAAGATTCTCAAGAAAACTATGATTGCAGAATCATGGGCTTGGGCAGTTCATTATTATTGATTAGATTTGTATCTCCTCCCCTTTGGGGGTTTGTTTTCTAAGTGACCTACCACATACTCTAGGTAAAGGGGTAAAGGAGCCAATTTATCTTCTGATAGAATAGCAGGCACTGAATCACAGTGATGTGCCTATTAAACATCTATTTCAGGGATGGTTAGTTTAGGAGGTTATGTTTTGGTTTCCCAGGCTGTAGATTATGAGGCTTTCACATGCTGTGAAGATATCATTTGTCAACATTGGTCCAGGATGGTGTGGGTGTCAAGGATGACTTCCAGGCATGAGCTGTGGATGGATGATGAGGCTTTTACTGTGATGGGAAGAGGAGAAGTTTTGGGATAGCAGGGGGGTGGTGAACATGAGTTTAATTTTGTACACATTGAAACTCAGAGGACAGGCCAGCAATTGAGAGGAGATGTCTGACAGTGTCTGGACCCTGATAGAAATATCAAAGCTAGAGTTAAAGATTTCAGAGCTGTCTACATAGAGGTGCAGTTATACACAGTGTTGTGAAAGAAGGGTTGTTAAAAGCGCAAAATAATCATGACCTTTCCACTCAAAGTAACCAACTGACAAATATGTAATTTAATAAAAAGAAAAACATTTGGATAAAAGTGTATTAGAACTGACTGCCTCCCACCTTCACAATTCCACCAAATCGGGTCCATAATTGTGCTAAAACATACAAACACAGCATCTCTTCATTTACTGTTTATAGGTCAATCCTTGAAGGATTAGACTCTGTAATTCACCAGACAGTGACACATTATTTTAAACTGCTGCCACCTCTTTTGCTGGTTATTGTGTCATTGATATTAACTTCAGTGCTGCAATAGAGATGGCCATGTAGTTGTGCTGGTTAGTCTTAGTTGTCAGCTGAACACAACCTCCAGTCAGCTGGGAAGAAGTAACCTCATTTAAGGAACCACCAATATTAGATCCATCTTTGGCCATTTCTGTGAGGGACTGTCTTGATTGAAGGTTAACATGGGAAAGCTTAGCCCACTGTGGGCAGCACCATCCCTAGGTGGATGAGTCTGGGCTGTATAAGAAGGCTACCTGAATATGAACCGTTGAATAAGCTGGTAGTCTGTGTTCCTCCTTGGTCCATGTTTGGGTGCCTCAAAAATGGGACCCTGGCCAGGAAAGGTAAAATGAAATAATCCCTTTCTTTCCTTAAATTGCTTCTGGTCATGGTGTTTATTACAGCAAACAAAAGCAAACTAGAACAGTAAGTGTATCTGAATTAAGTTGCCTTTGATTCTTCTGGGTGTGGACTCCAAAGTAATATGGCAGATACTAGACCAATTCTGAAGATGACTTCTCCATTTTAAGAATCTTTCCTATTATCACATGTCAAAAGTCAGAAGAAAATATTCTGAATGCTGGTTTCTCAACACTGTAGCAATGGCATGTGTGCATTTGCAACAGGTCACTATTCGGTTCTTAGTAGAAAGATTGCTGGGGAAGCAGATTGGTGTCAACTCTCAGTAACTTTTCTGGAGCACTTTCACTGGAGACATTTTGTGCTAAATCACCAAACACACAACAGCGCATTGAAGAGAAACCCTACTGGGCACTTCAAGACTATAAGGCACTATGGTAGGATTCAGTATTCACAACTTCCCCAAGAACTATCAAACATGAAAAAGTCATTTTATTGCACCTTCTCTACAGAATGTCTTTTGTATTTAAGTCAACACCAGTATAATTGGGCTTGGTGGTTGTAATCTGCCTATTTCTGATAGGAATTACAGTAAGTGTGTGTGTGTGTGTGTGTGTGTGTGTGTGTGTGTGTGTGTCATTTCCAGAAATAAGAGCATAAGGGGCAATATCTTGTCCTAGTTATTTGGTCTATTTTAAAAATCCATAGGGAGAAATCAGTAACAATGAAAGAAGACTGTTGGATGGTTTGTCCTTAGCCACAGAGCCTTGCAAAAAGAGATTTGTCTAGACGCCCCTTCATGTTTCCACTGAACATCATTGTGTGTTTCAGGTAACCTAAAGCACTGTTTGTATTCTAAAAGTGAAAAGATGCTGGGAGCCAGGGATCTGGGAGCCAGGGTAATAATTCAGTCCTTCCCAGAGGAGCCCAGCTTCGTCAAGCTGCAGGGAGTGCAGTTTCGAGACCTCGGGCAGGCCTTCCATAAGCATCAGAGCTCACTCACTTTGGTGGGAACTATGATTGGTAAGGGATCATGCCTTGGCCTTTGCAGTTTTCTTCTTCCATGTTGATGGTACCACATGATGGTGATGGGTAGGACTGACAAAATTCAGAGATGGATAAATGTCTACAGGTTAGATGTATACTTCTCAAACTTTAGTACCTAAATTCTTCGCTCATGGAGCTTTTTAAATTCAGAGTTATATACTCACTCACCAGAGAAACTTGTACACATGAGGAAGTGCTAGCAATTCTTGTGCCCAGTATGTTCTAATGGGGTGATGTATGGATATAGATTCAGAGTTGGGGGAAAAAACAGTGTTTCCAAAAGAAGTGATGATTCATGAGTTATTTTATAGGTGTTAATTTATTCTTATAAGAAACTAGAAATTTTACTCTATAATCAACATAAAGCTTTGTGTAAAAACAGATTTTAAACTACTGACAAACCGACCAAATACTTACACCTTGCCTTTAAATGAAGATATATATATATATATATATATATATATATATATATATATGAAACAAAAGCAAATTTCCTCCATTGTACAGTTTCTGTTGTTTGTTCTCAGTGACATACATAGAAGGGAAGATAGTTCTTAGGGATTTTAACCTGGGTCACCACACTGTGACAATACTGTCCCCAAAGTGTCACTCTAAAAATCAGAATTTTAAGTTAATCACTCATTTTTAGTTCACTGTAGTTATTCTCTTTTAGTTTTACAAATATGCAAGTTAAAAGATACAATATAATTTTAAGGATAATTTCTTGTAATTTTTCTAAAATATACAAAGAATGTGTATATAGATACAAGGGACCGTGTATATAAATATTGTGCAGTTTAGCATGTGTAAGGTCTCATACACGCAAACACACATGTTATTGACCATGTATGTTCTGAGTTATTTATTAGAGCAGAGTAAAACTGGAATTATAATGATCTGTATTTTCTATATTACTTTTTACTTCCCAAATTGGTTAAATATTCTACAAAGCTTTTTTGACCAATAGCAATTTTCAAAAATAGATATGAAGGCTTAAACCTTCTTAACAGTGTAATGAACATTCAAAATCTAAAAGGAACACAAATTAAAATATATGACAGGAAAAAATATTTTTGGTTCTGTTTGAAAAAATTTCAGGAGTGTTTTATTGTTTCTTTTTGTTGGGGAAGATACTTAAAATTTCTAATAATTTTTTTCCTGAGAAGAAAAATGAAGCACAAATTTGAGCTGGTATTTCAAAAGCAAATGATTTATCTTTGTTACTTTTTTATTATCTACAAAATACATTCAGTGTTAACTATTGTCCAATATTTTAACTATGGCTTTCTAATTTAATCCTACATGATTTAAGACCTGATAATTCCAGTGATTTATCATAGAAAGATATCATACCAATTACATAGTTCTCATATGATAAAAGTCATAATAGGAATATAAAGTTAACTAATACATCTTGACTGACATAGACTATTTTTCATTTTTATTTAAATTTATTAATTGTGCAATCTAATGGGTTTCTTTATGACACCTCACTCATTCATATAATATTCTTTGATCATCTTCAATCGCCTATTATCATATTCTATCACCCTGTCTGTCTACTCTTCCTCCAAGCTTTCCTCCTCTTTAATGTATTATCTCGATACAGATTATTTTTAAAACAGTATCATGCATGTTATTATAAACTTAAAAGAGGAAAAACTGTCCATAACAAAAAATAGGTTTTTTTTTGTAAAGAAACCTGTGCTAAGAATGCTAACTTTTAAATTTTGTTTAAAAATAAGAAAAATAAACATGATTATATTTAGTTCATAACTTAGTTCTTAGAAATGCCCTCTTCCTTCTTCTTTTTTTCTTTGTTCTTCAAGATGGGGTTTATCTCTGTAGCCCTGGCTATCCTAGAACTCACTCTGAAGACCAGGCTGGCCTTGAACTCAGGGATCTGCCTGCCCTTACCTCCTGAGTGCTGAGATTAAAGGTGTGCACCACCACCAACTGGCCAGAAATGCCCTCTTTCTATGCATACAGCAGAATATACTATACACATATGTATGCGGCCCTCCAAAGAAGTATAAGAGAAAGCAGCACTTGTGCTGTCAGCCTCCAGTAAATGGCTGTATTTGCTGTAGCACAGTCAGAAGCAATCCAGACAATGCCTCACAAACAAATCTACAGGTCAGTCTACTGGAGGTAATGCTTCATTAAAGGTTCCTTTTTTCCAGATATGTCATGTGGACAACCAAGATTAGTCATGACATCAGCCAGTGAGAGTTTTGGTTCAAGATTGCCTGATATTCCTAATCCAAATCATTGGCAAAACCCAAAATTGACCTGAGAACCAGGTTTATGAAAATACAGGGGAAGTTCCTTCAACTATGCTGAAGTGAACTGACATTTAGAAGAGTAATTACTCTGCCTCAATGTCTTCATCTCTGTTTCTAACTCCCATATAATGGTATATGTCTTGGGCCCATCAACAAATAAATGTTTGAGCTGGGCAGTGGTGGCACACACCTTTAATCCCAGCACTTGGGAGGCAGAGGTAGGTGGATCTCTGTGAGTTCAAGGCCAGCCTGGTCTACAAAACTACACAGAGAAACCCTGTCTCGAAAAACAAACAAACAAAAATGTTTGTTGTCAGCTACAGTTGTGCAGCACAGGATAGCATTTCTGTCAATCATGGCCCGGCTCACTGTGTGTGGTACTGTCCCTGGACAAGTGAGCATGAGTGCATACAAAAGTTAGGCAGAGCATGGCCAGTAGGAAAGTGGATGAGTGAACAGTGCTCCTCAGTGATTTCTGCCTTGAGTTGCTCAGTGACAGACTGTAAACTATAGGATGGACTAAATCCTTTTATCCACAATTTCCTTGTGGCCATAGTGTTTATCACAGGAACAGCAACTAAACAAGAACAGCTGACAAGATATAACCATTAATTTCTAACCAAAGGCCACACCTTCATATGCAAGTGTAGGTTTTAAAAATCCAGGTTAAGCCGGGCATTGGTGGGGCACGGCTTTAATCCCAGCACTCGGGAGGCAGAGGCAGGTGGATCTCTGTGAGTTCGAGGCCATCTTGGTCTCCAGAGCGATGCCAGGATAGGCTCCAAAGCTACACAGAGAAACCTTGTCTCGAGAAACCAAAAAAAAAAAAAAAAAAAATCCAGGTTAAATCATATAAGTTCTTGATGCTGCTTTACTATATTGTTATAAAAGACATTTCTTAGATGGATAACACTATCTAGCATTTGTGTCTTTAATTTCAACTACTTTTATCTTCAAGATCTAGTGGCCTTAGTTGTCCAATTTCTTGATTTATTTGCTTCTTTGACCCCACTAATTTTCCGTTTTGTTGTTGTTGTTTGTTTTTTGACACAAGGTTTCTCTGTATTGCTTTCTCTGTATTGTCCTAGAACTTGGTCTGTAGACCAGGCTGGCCTCGGACTCATAGAGATCCTCTTGCCTCTGCCTCTCGGTTGCTGCGATTAAAGGTGTGCACCACCAACACCCAGCTCAGAGTTTCATTTTTATGTGGAAAAATAATGTCTGGTGATGGAATATCTTGTTTGGATGCAGTTAACCAAATCTGAGAGACTCTGAGGTGTGAGTAAAATGTTCACCTTATTCTATCCCACCCAGGTTCCTATCTCCAGAGCTGTTCAGTGTGGGGCTCCTTCAGCAGAGGCCTTAGCATGCACAGGACCTGGGGCCTGAGGGTGGATAGTAATATATTCTACAAGATCGCAGGTCATGCTCTGCTGATAGGTAAGAACATTTTCTTGTTAAAGTATATATTATTGAGTAGCATGGGTAGTCTTTCATAAAGCATTCTCCCACATTGCTGACCTCAAAACATACAAAATCATTGTTTGTATGAGAATTACCTAATAGGATGTAGCTTAAAATACCAAATTTAAATTTAGTAAATGACTTACTAGACTGTATCAATAGGAAGTGAATCACTTGAAAGTTGAATTCAGGTTAATAAATGTCTAACGGGAGGTTTTAAAACTCATTGACGCAAACTTTCCCCTAATTCTAAGTCCACACACAGTCTTAGGTGCTCAGGCTTAGATGACGTTGGCTAAGATTTAAAAACTGAATTTGTGCCTAAGTGCTTCTGTGGTAGGCTGGGGCTGCAGTTTCTGACCTGGCAAACTGCTCACTAATTTCTACTTTTCTCCGATTAAGTTCATGACCAAACATTAGAATTAGCCTTAGATAATTAGAAGTCTCATCACCTCACTCTCAGAAAAAGGGCTAAAGAGTGCCCTGTCGGTGATTTTCACCCCAGCTGATTTCTCTAAGCTCATCCTCATCTTTTTCCTTTCTTCCTCTGTACTGTCATTGTGCAGGAGCTACTTTATTTCATTCTTTCCAAAAGGCAGCCTTTTTTTCTGCCACATGGCTTTTGCACACGTTATTTCTCTCCATTCATGACAGTTGCTCTCGTGGAACATTCTTTCTCCCCCTACACCACTAAGCTAGAACCTTTCATCTTAAAACTTGATGCTACATTCTGACTCATCTTGTTTTACCACCAGGTTTTGTGAGACACTGTCTTCTTGACGTTCACATTGATAGTTCATTATAGGCCATTTGGCTGAGGGAAGTGAATTAGTAAGTCATCTCTGGTTTTGTCAGAATATAAAAGCAAACCAGAGATTTTTTTTTTTTTTTTAGTGGAAAGTAAGAATGTAAGTAGAATTGTTAATGTTTTATTTTTAAATGATCCCTGTGATGTGATTCAGGGGAAAGCGTATGTTTCATTTAAGAATAATCTCTTGAAATAAAAGGCTGAAAAGGTTCTAATTCCAAGAGAGCTGTTGTTTCATGAGGGACTATGAACTCACTTAAAAACACACTCCAGCTTGAAGGCAAAGAGCAGGCGCATGAGGTAATCAGGTGTACAAAATGTTTTGATTAGGGAAGAGAGGCCACAGAAGTCAATCGACATATGCAGGCTTGATTTTCTTCTTTCTTTGCTCTGCGAAAGTCTATGACCACAAGCAGAGATTTAGGATGGCATCCTAACAATAAGATTTCAGCAGAAAATGATATTAGCTGTGCTGTCAACTTTGGAAAAAAGTGTCCCACTTTACCGCGTTCAGTTGGCATTGTACAAAAATTAGCACCCATATTGTTCTAGAAATGTTGAACTTAATGTTTTTCTATTTGTACAGGGGTAACACACTGTATTAAATATGTAAGGTCTTAAAAAAAAGAAGAGATTTTGAGAGCCTATCCCATATGAAGGGATGCTCTCTTGACCTGGACACATGGGGAAGGGCCTAAGCCTGGCCCAGGATGATGTGGTAGACTTTGGGGAGCCCCTTTTGAGGGCCTTACCCTGCCTGGGGAGTAGAGGGGGCATGGCTAGGGGCAGGTGAGATGTTGGGGGGGGAGGGAGGAAGAGAGAGAAGGGATTGACATCTGAAGCAAGCTTTTTCCTAATTTGAACTAATAAAATAAAATAAAAATTAAAAAAAAATGTGGGAGGTATTCAGCCTGGGTTACTATGGATTATTGACTCTTGACATCCTTTGTATTGCAATCAAGAGAATTAAAATATTTAATTCACTATAAGTTCTCTGCCATACCTTAAACAATCACAAGTTCATATCCATTAAATGACATGGGAATCTCAGATAAAATAAAGGTCCTAGCAGTGAAGGATTCTGTGGCACTGCCTATACATTACTGATCCAACCTAAATGAATAATACCTTCTTGTGTCACATGGTTGGGTCTTTCCAAGCTCTTCTAGTACATTTTCATTGAGGGTGTAACTGCCTCATCCTGTCTAGCCTGTTCCTTCAGAGCATATCTGCTCTTGTAGAAAAAGCAGTTCATATAATTTGGAAACCAGGCTGGGTTGGACACATGCAGTGTGGCTTTTCATTATTACATTTTTATTAAATTTATTCATTGACTATTCTATGCACAGATTTAAGGCTCTATGGCTGTTCCCATTTCCCACCATCTCTTTATCTCTTCCTGTTTCTTATCCTCCAAATCTCTCATCTCTCTCTCTCTCTGTGTGTGTGTGTGTGTGTGTGTGTGTGTGTGTGTGTGTGTGTGTGTTACTGATTTCAATCAGGGCCATCTGTTTGGTTTGGACAATGAAGATATTCACTTAGACTTCATCTAAGAATTAAAATAGAAGATCCATTTTGTTGAAGGATATTTTTGATCACACTGTGAACTCCGAGATTGTGTTACTTACTGGAAGTAAAACCTGTTTCTAGTTGTTGTATGGCTCAGACCTAGCACACCTTTAATTCAAGAGCTTTCTGCTTGAATAATGTAAACTGGATTAAATAAAGTTAACCATAGGTCAAGAGGCAAAGCAAGCAACCAGTTGACAGGAAAAACCATAGAGAATGAGAGGGAGTCAGGAAGATGGACAGAGAGATACATAGGAAGTAGAAGGGGGGCATGCAGTTTGAAGAGTTTTATTTTTTAAGATGTTGTCGTGCTGCAGAATATTTTTAGCTATGCAAAGATATGTTTTATTTATTTAACTATGTAAAGATGTGTTGCATTTGTTTATGTTGAGGAATATTTGTTTAGCTATATAAAGATGTGCTGCATTTGTTTAAGCATCTAAAGATGGGCTACTCTTTTACCATGCCTAAGGCATCTGATTGGTCTAATAAAAAGCTGAATGGCCAACAGTGAGGGAGGAGGTATAGGTGGGACTTCCAGGCAGGAAGAGTAAGTAGGAGGAACTAAAGTTCATGGGAAGAAAGAAGAGATGCCAGGGGCCAGGCAGCCAGACATGGAGGAAAGTAGGACATAAAGAATAAAAGACAGGTAAAAAGCCCCAAGGCAAAATGTAGATGAATAGAAACAGTTTAAATTAAGTTAAAAGAGCTAGTGAGACAAGGCCAAGTATTCACAATTAATAATGAGTTTCTGTGTCTTTATTTGGGAGCTTATTGGCAGCCCAAAGAAAATGTCAACTACAGCATAAACAAAGGCAGGAAGCTTCTGGGAAGTTGGTTAAGGAGGACGGTCAGATGGGTGTTTTTCTCTGCCTCTCTGAGCTAGCAGGCTTTCACCCTAGCATCTGACTTCTGAGTCTTTATTGGTAAAATCAAGCGACTGAGATTTTTGTTAAAAACAACACTATTCTTGTGATTATTTTTCTTTAAAGTAAACTTCAGATCCACAAGATGGATCTTAACTCACAGTCCATATAATATGCATCTCTTTCTCTGTCTCTTAGATTAAAAATTACCCAAACAAGAAAGCATGTTTTATTTTTCTCTTACCTCCCTGAATGATATCAAATTTGTAAAAGTAATATAATCTTCTGTTCTCAGGGACCTATATGGACAGAATGTTTACCACCAGTGAGACTATTATTGGAGGAAAAAATGGTAAATATGTAAATTTTTTTATTTTGAATCTATCATAGTTATCTATGATTGTCATAATTTATAGGCAGATATCATGACATGTTGTTAATTGTAAATTTGTTGAACATACTATTTTTCTATATATATATATATATATATATATATATATATATATATGTACAAATATTTTATTAATTCTTTGAGTGTTTCATGTATTTTTTAAACATATTTATCCCTCCAGTTCTCACTTTCAACTTTCCTATTCTTTCCCTCTCAACTAGGTAAGACTTCTGTGTTTTTCTTCTTTCCCCCTCATCAAACACAACACTACTCTTTCTAAATTGATAGAATATTAAAATGATCCCTGATGACTTACTGCTGTACCCATAGATCAGAACATCTCTCAACCCTCATAAAAGATTAATAATTTTTAAAAATTATATTGTTTGTGCAAGTGTGTGTATATCTATGTGTGACTTTATACACATGAGTGCAGGTGCCTATAGAGTCCAACAGAGGGAGTCAGATTACACCTGATGCTGGAATTATAGGAGGTTGTGAACTGCCCAATTTGAGTACTGGGAACTGAACTTTGTTCTTTTTCAAAATTTATTCTTCTATCCATTTATATATCACCAATACAATCTTTATAATATCCAATCATATGTAAGATATAGTTACATGTAATACACATGTATATAAAATATAGTCTTCATTAACCCAGTCAGAGTATTGAGTTATGCAAATTTTAATTGTTTGTGAATCATCTGTGTTTGATTTATCTTTTTTAAAAATTAGACTGGTGGGCACAGGGAAGTACAATTAGAAACAATGTGATCATCAGTATTTCTGGGGCTGAGGGACTGTCCAGTCCTGAAGTGTTGGCACCAGCTGGCATCTACACTTTAAGTCCTACCAATGTGATAGAGGTAAGAACTTCATTTCCACTGGGATAGTCTAAGATGACAGTGTAGGAAATCCCTTCGAATGGTTCACAGTAGCACCAGATAATTTGATTTTGGTTGTCCATTTTAATTGGTATTAAGAAATTTGTTTATGATTTTTGCATTAGGTAAACAATTTACCTATTGTTCTCAGATTCCTATGAAAGCTATCTGGCATGATAAGTAAAATTAATGAGTTGTATATTGTTCATCTTCTGGTTATACAAACTGAAGCATCTTGTTTTGGATCTCTTGCTTCTGATGTCAATTACTTATTAAATCACCTGTAGCCTATCATATTAATTTGACCATAGTTTTGCCAAAAAAGGGTTTTTGCATTGTATCAGGAAATATATGAGACATAAAGTTTCAGGGGCATGATCTTAGTTTTTATTCCATTATTTGGTGCACTTAATGTAGTGAAACTATAGCCACATGGAGAAATAATTGTTTTCTATTTATCATTAGCCAAAGATTTGTGAGTGAGCTGTTGTACTTCAACATTAGAAATTCATTCCATTTCTCCCTTGTTAGTTGTTTTATCTCTTGGTATGCCTCCAGCAGGGGTTACGGCCCTGTCTTTCTCAGGATGCTACTCCGAGCATCTGTAGATACTCAGCTCCACAGATCCTCCCACTGTTACAGTATTATGACATTTATGCCCAGTTTCTGAGGAACACGCAGGACAAATTGCTCTTAATTACCTTCAGTTGAATAATCCCTAATAAAAGTGTGGTCCTCTGCTCAACACTCCTTACACTCTTAATTGTGTCTTCCCAAAGCCTGGCACTTACACACCATTTTAGGTGCCTAATAGGGGTGGCTAATAGGCCAGTGACAAAAGGAGGCAGAATTTCATGGATCATCAGAAACCACACTCTAGTCAAGTTGCGTTTAACTTTTTGGCCACTGAAGGGTTTGTTGAATAGTTAGGAAGCCAGCTCTGGGGCCTAGAGAGTCTTGTTTTTCTAGACTTTCTTTGGTACTATAGTCTCATCTACATTGAAGCATCTTGACAAAAGCAATCAAGGTTTCCCAGCTCATCCTGTGTGAGGCTGGAGCACCCTTGCCTCCCTGAGTAATTGGTATGTCTTCCTGGCTAGAAGAAAAGTTGTCCCTTCTTACATGCAGTGTACCAGGGGACCCGCCTGGAAGGCAGAGCCCTGTAGACTATATTGCCTATATGAGAGGAACCTGGGTGAATGGTTCCTCCATTAACATGGAGGTCATGGAATGATATTAATATGGCAATATGGGTATAGTTCATTGGTATAATGATGTTGATTGACCAAACCATCACTTAAACTTGTAGATGTTTGCCTAATCTCCTAGTTTGGGCATTCAATCTAGAAAGCACATTTAGTCAACAACAGAAAAATGGAGCTGAACCCAGTTGTTTTCCTCTCAGATGCCTTTCATTTTGACATATTTGTTTGTTTCCTTTTAGGGCTATTTTTTGTTTAACAATTATATATTTGCTAAAGAGAGAGAGAGAGAGAGAGAGAGAGAGAGAGAGAGAGAGAGAATAGGCTCTAAGATCCCAAAATCATTTGTGGAGGAGTTGCAGATGTGCACTGCTGCCCTTTGTGGATGCCAGGAATCTGACTCAGGTCTTCCTGCTTGCACAAGAGTTTATTCACTGAGCCATCTCCTGAACCTTTAAACTTTTAATTTAGGAATAATTTCATACTCAGAAGAAGTCACAGAGAGTTCTTCTGTTCCTTTCACCCAGCCTCCTCCCATAACAATATTAAAATGGGTATATTACACATTTGCTCTAATTGAGCAAAACCCCTCACTTGAACTTGAGGAAGGTTGCGGAATCTTCAGCTTGGACATTCAACCTAGAAAGCTCACTTTCTCTGTCTACACATATGAGCCTGACTTGGAAATCCTTAACCTGATGGCTGGGGAAGATATTTTTAAGTTTGGACAATAGTTTGTGATTTTACATTATTCCTGACTTGTTCGAACCCAGAATCTCGTACCAGATTCTTAGCCACAGTGTAGAGAATTCATCTTCACTTCCAGGTGAACACCTTCAGAGCTTAACTGTCTTTCAGCTCTGCATAGCACAGAGGGATTTCTTAGGTTCTTCGTGGTTTTTCATGCCTGCAGTTGGTCTGCTGTCTCCCTACCCAGGCCACAGTCGAATGAAAATCAGTTTCTCTGAAAATCAAATTCTGAGTCCTGTGTCTTCCCACCAGTGAGAGCTTCTGAAGTATCTTGGAGTCTACTGGGTCCTGGCCATCTTTGTATGCTCCTTTGTGAAACACTGACCTGTTTTCAAAAACCACATAAACACATCCGTGGCACTCTCTCCATGCATTGCCCTAGCTGCTGTTGTCTGTGCCAGGCCTGTCTTCTCTCAACAGCTCTAGCACCAGTAGCCAGTCTTCAATTTCTTTCACAGAGATTCCTTTTATCTGACATAATATTCACGAACCCATTATTCCCAACCACCTCCTGCTGGAGTGATTATTCTCAGGCAACAGGGGACAGTTCACTCCCAGTACTTCAGAATGTCCCATATTTACAGAGGTATTGCAATCTTCCTATGAGCATGGTCTTATTTAGGAGAGCCCATGGAAGAAGGAGCCTGCAGGTGACATCCATTTGATTTGAGGGGAATTTGTTCTAGTTTGGGAATCAATTTTGTAAGGAATTCTGTTTTAAAGGACCCAACCTGTTTTAAAGTTCTCTGGCTTTAAAGTTCTCAATGGGTAATGCACATTTAAGAGCTGCCTGAAGGGTTAAGTCACCCCTTCCCCCTTTTTTTCTAGTGACTACAGATATGTACCTCAAGGAGCTGGCTTACATGGGCAGCTCATTTCTCTCTGGAGTTTCTCTTGCTTGAATGTCCATAGCATTCCGTAAAGAATTAATTTTCACACGAAATTCCCTGCTTGCCTTAAACCCTTCCCTGCAAGCCTCTGGCTGCCTGTATAAGTATGTGGTTTCCTCATGAACCTTTGTACAGTACCCAATTGGAATGGAGAGAAGGGGTGGGTGGTAACGTGAGCTGACTGCTGATGTACTTCTTTTAGAAGAAAAGTGAGTCTTACTGGCTAACATAGGACCAAAGCTGCAACATCCCTTCCAAGTATAAGTGTACTTGGACAGTGTTTGTGTGCAATACTCAGATGTTCCATACATACTAGTAGAACTGGGGCAGGTGACTCCATGAACACTTTCAATCGTTGAGAATGCATGCTTTCTGAGCACTGGTGCTGGCAGTGGTGAAGAACAAGGATGTAGCCTCTGGAATATCTTTCTGAACTGTTGGAGCATTCTTCCTTCTTATAAAGTCTTGGTAATGAGCTGGTATACATTGGCAATTAAACTGACGTATGTGTTAAGTTGAGATTGCCTTTGTCATCAGTGTGTGGTGCACCTTTTCAGTTGCAGAGAAAGTGGGTATTTAAGAGCTCTCTCTCTCTCTCTCTCTAAGAGCTCTCTCTCTCTCAAAGAGCTCTCTCTCTCTCTCTCTCTCTCTCTCTCTCTCTCTCTCTCTCTCTGTGTGTGTGTGTGTGTGTGTGTGTGTGTGTGTGTGTTTAAGCCAAATCTTGCTCTCAGGTGTCTTCTTCTATAGACATACAACTAATTTTTAAAATTACATTTCATTTATTTATTTGTATATGTGTATGCAGGCGTGCATGAGTGCACACACATATATGCCATGACTCATAAGTGAAAGTCAGAAGAAACTTGTAGGATTCTGTTCTCTCTTACCATATATGCTTGGGGGTCAAATTCAAGTCAACTTTACAAACTGAGCCATCTTTCTGGCTGTCTATGTTATTTATTGATAAAGGGTGCCTCACTGATTGTGGAGCTCACCCATTCAGTTGAGACTTGGCTAACAAACACCAATGGACCTCTTGACTCTATCCACAGCTCTAGGAATACAAACAGGAATGAATGGCTATTTAAGCCCTTTACATGGATGCTGGGGATCTCAACTTCTGTCCTCATGCTTGCATGGAATCACTCTAATAACTAAACCAGCTCCCTGGACCTAGAGCTTTCTTCTTTGACCCCCCAGTTCTTAGGTATTGGTAGATCATTGGTTTAGGTAATAGTTGTGGTCTTAGTTGTGGTGGAAGTGGTTACTAGAAAATCTGGAAAATGGACATTCACAAGTCATTTTCTGGGGGAGTTTTCCTTTTGTAATCATGATATGGAATGAGTGCTATGTTAAGCCCTTGTTTTGTGCAGATGTATTGAGTACTGATAGTCACCTCCTGAGGGAGAAGGATTCTTTCTGAGGCTGAGAATTGTTAGTGCATATTCTATTTTATTTTTTAACACAGGATTGAGATGGCTAGGTAATACTCTTTTTGAGAATTCTTAGTGCCAGATTTGACAATGTCTTCCATGTGAAGACTACTGAAACATTTCTCATTATAACTAATTGCATTTTCATATTTAGCATAAAATATGGAATTCCATCAATTATAGGCTATTGGAAAGTGGATGTAATTTACTTTTATAACACCTGGTATTTCTTAGCTATGGTAATTGTGGTAGATAATTACAAGTTTCTTCTATGTAACAGTTTTAAATGCCAATGGTGCTTTCCTCTGCTCTGTGAATTGGGTTAATAGTAACTGTTTCCAGATATTTCCACGTTTCCCAGGAAGCAACATTACCCTTGGTCTAGATTCTCTATATTGTGATCCCCTAAGACCACTAATGTCTTAGAGAAGGCCCCAAGTTCCTGAAGTCCTGTGGCCTCTTGAATAGTAATTCAACTTCATACATTATAATACCCAGATATTCTTAAGTGGCATTTCCTGGGGGCCACAGGGTAAGCAAAATGTGATTAGAATTGTAAATGACCTCAGGCAATAGAAGAGTTGTTTGGAATCTCAAATAATGACACTTAGTAGAGAACAGGTCAAGTTGTCCACTTGGAAAGAAAACATTCTGTAACTGGGTAAAAATAAGGAAAGACTATTTATAAGAACCTGGGGTAGAGTAAATACTAAGCTGTAGTTAAGTAAACTTCAGGGTGATTGTGTCAGCACATGCTATAGGTCAACATTTCAGACTCAGGACAACTCTAGCCCTGGCTCACACTTCAACAGACTGAAGGCTTCTGAGGCAGGAACATTCTTTCACCCTCATTGTTGTAAAATTTTCTTTCATATTTGCCCCTCCCCCATGGGCTTCATACATGTGCTTTGCGGAACATGAGTTACATCCAAAGGATAGGATATTCAAATTCTACCTTCTGCAGGGAATGCTGCTACATGTCAGCTGTCACGGAGTCACCTAGTTTCAAGGTTTAATAAGACCCCAATCATCTTTTAAAATAAAAAAAATGTTGCAGCAGAGTGACTAAAACCATAGAATAAAGTGAGTTGATTCAACCCAAGGAAAATAGAAAATGGCTACCTGTGCAATGGTGTGAGTACAAGAAGGAAGAAGCGGGCGCTCAGATCTCAGCACTAAAGGGTCAAAATAGGGCTGGAGAGATGACTCGGTGAAAGTGTTATTTAGTTTTTTGTCAACTTCACCCAAGGTAGTGTCATCTGGGAAGAGGGAACCTCAACTGAGAAAATAACAACCTAGGATTGGTAAGCAAGCCCATGAGGTCATTTTCTTGATTAGTGATTGATGTGGGAGAGCATAGCCCACTGTGGGTGGCACCATCCCTAGGCAGGTGGCCGTGGAAGGTATACGAAAGGCAGCTGATGATGAGCCCAAATAGCAAGCCAGTAAGTAGCATTCCTCTCTGCTCTCTGCTCAGTTCTTGCCTCTGTGTTCCTATGTTGGTTGAGTTCTTGCTTTCGCTTCCTTTTATGATAGACTGTCGTAGATATCTGTAAGTCAAATAAGCCACTCGCTCCTCAAGTTGCTTTTGGTCATGCTATTCTGTCTAATCAACAGAAAGTGAACCGTGAAAAGGGGAAAACACTTATGCAAGCATGAGGATCTGAGTTCGAATCCCCAGGACTTACATAATGCTGGGTATGGTAAGGTGCTTGTAATCTCATGTGTTCCTGTGATGGGACAGCAGGTAGAGAAAGTAGCATCTCCTGATGTTTATGGGCCAGCTCGCTTGGAGTATGCAGCTGCAAAGAGCAAGAAATCCTTTCTCAAACATGGTGGAAGGTGTGGATTCATAACTGAGGCTTCTCTCTAGATGCCACACATATGTTGTCACAAACATACCTATCCTCTCGCAACACATACACACCTGTTTTTAATTATTTTCTATATTTTATTTAAATTAGAAACAAGCTTGTTTTACTTGTCAATCCCAGTTCCCTCTCCCTCCTCTCCTCCCCTGCCCCCCACCAACCCCCATCCCATCCCCTTCCTACTCCCCAGGGAGGGTGAGGCCTTCCATGGGGATCTTCAAAATCTGTCATATCATTTGCAGCAGGGCCTAGACCCTCCCCCAGGTGTCTAGACTGAGAGAGTATTCATCTATGTGGAATAAGCTCCCAAAGCTCATTTGTGTACTAGGGATAAATACTGATCCACTACCAGAGGCCCCATAGATTGCCTAGGCCTCTTCACTGACACCCATGTTCAGGGGGTCTGGATCAGTCCTATGCTGGTTTCCCAGCTATCAGTCTGGGGTTTATGAGCTCCCCCTGGTTCAGGACAGCTATTTCTGTGGGTTTCTCCAGCCTGGTCTTGACTCCTTTGCTCATCACTCATCCTTCTCTGCAACTGGATTCTAGGAGTTCAGCTCAGTGTTTAGCTGTGGGTGTCTGTTTCTGCTTCCATCAGCTACTGGTTGAAGGCTCTAGGATGGCATATAAGGTAGTCATCAATCTCATTATAGGGGAAGGGCATTTAAGGTAGTCTCTCTACTATTGCTTAGATTGTTAGTTGGGGTCTTCCTTGTAGATCTCAGGACATTTCCCTAGTGCCAGATTTCTCTTTAAACCTTTAATGTCTCCCTCTATTATGGTGTCTCTTTTCTTGCTCTCCTCTACTGATTCAATCTTCCTGCTCCCTCATGTCCTCCTCTCTCCTCCTCTTCTCCCCTTCTCTTTTTTCTAACTCCCTCTCCCCTCCTCCCATGTTCCAAATTTGCTCAGGAGATCTTATCCCTTTCCCCTTCTCTGGGAGTCCATGTATGTCTCTCTTAGGGTCCTCCTTGCTTCCTAGCTTCTTTGGTGGTGTGTATTGTAGACTGGTAATCCTTTTCTCTATATCTAAAATCCATATATGAGTGAGTACATACCATGTTTGTCTTTTAGTGACTGGGTTACCTCACTCAGTATTGTTTTTTCTAGTTCCATCCATTTGCCTGGGAATTTCAAGATTGTATTGCTCCCCCCCCTCCCGGCTCAGTAGTACTCCATTGTGTAAATGTACAACATTTTCTCCATCCATTCTTCAGTTGAGGGGCATCTAGATTGTTTCCATGTTCTGACTATTACAAATGCTGCTATGAACTTGGTTAAAAAGATGTCCTTGTTGTATGAATGTGCTTCTTTTGGGTATATGCCTAAGAATGGAATTTCTCGACCTTGTGGTAGACTCCCATTTTCCAGAGAAACCACCAAAAACTGATTTCCAAAGTGGCTATATGAGTTTGCACTCCCACCAGCAGTGGAGAAGTGTTCCCCTTTCTCCACATCATCTCCAGCATAAACTGTCATTGGTGTTTGGTTTTAGCCATTCTGACAAGAGCAAGATTGTATCTTAGAGTTGTTTTGATTTGCATTTCCCTGATGGCTAAGAATGTTGAGCACGTTCTTAAGTGTCTATCAGCCATTTTAGATTCCTCTATTGAGAATTTTCTGTTTAGTTCTGTACCCCACTTTTTAATTGGATTATTAGGTGTTTTGGAAACTAGCTTCTTGAGTTCTTTGTATATTTTAGAAATCAGCCCTCTATCAGATGTGGGGTTGGTAAAGATCTTTTCCCATTCTATCGGCTGTGGTTTTGTTTTGTTGATGGTGTTCTTTGCCTTACAGAAGCTTCTCAGTTTCAGGAGGTCCTATTTATTGTCGATTTCAGTGTCTGTGTTACTGATGTTATGTTCAGGAAGAGGTCTCCTGTACCAATTTGTTGGTGGGCACCTCTTCTAAGAGGTTCAGTGTGGTGGATTTATGTTGAGGTCTTTGATCCATTTGGATTTAAGTGTTTGTGCATAGCAGTAGATATGGATCTATCTGCAGTCTTCTTCACACCCAGCATCCATTTAACACACACACACACACACACACACACACACACACACACACCTTAATGTACACACATGCACACACACAAGATTTTAAGAACACCAGTTTTATAAAGATACAACTTATTCCATCATAGAAGATTCAATTGAAGTATACAGCAGTCAGTTTGGGTGTGTTCATAGAGCTGGACAAACATCGTCACAGTAACCAGAACATATTCATCATCCCCCTACAAATCTCATACTCATTAGAAGTCATGCTCCCATTTTCTTATCAATGGCGTCTCATCCCTAGACAACCACTAATCTACTTTATAGGACACTCCATACATATGAAAATCCACAACCCGTGCCAGACTGTGAATAGAGTGGTGGTTCCATTCTACATTTGCTAGTAAATTTGATAGGACTAAAGGGTATCCTGTATGACACCCCAAGACCTCCAATGCCACCCGGATGATTGAAGAGGTATTGGAGAGGAAGGAAAGGAGAAGCAAAGAGATTTTTTATTATTGGTTTTTTCTGTTGTTGTTGTTTTATCTTGTTTAGTTTTGGGTTTTTCATTGTTTTTGTTCTTGTTTTGTGTGTTAGTTTACCTGCTTACTTTGTTTTGTTTTCTTTTGTGGGGGTACTGCAGGAGTAAGGGGAGAACATGGGGGGTATGAGGTGAGCAGAATTGGGGTGCATAATGTGAAACTCCTGAAGAATTAATAAAGAGTTAAAAAAAACTAGCATACCTTCTTGCCATGGAAACTCTTCAAAAAGGATTTAAAGTGAAATGTTATTTGTTGAGGTGGACAATTTATAATGTAGCCACGTTGTCTGGAGGTTGGGAAGTGGGGGTAGGGGTTGATCCTGTGGTGGAATCTGGGACAACTGTGTCCACAAAAGCTTTATCATACTTGAAAAGAATCATCTAAGAAAGTAGATAATGCCAATATAGTTCTTTCATTGCAGCAACTTTAACACATATGGAATAACTATTTTTTGAAATTTCCCCCTTAATTTCTGTAGGGCAACAGAGTGTGTGCAGTTGGCTATGGCTATGTTTTCCACCTTATGACTCGTCAAACATCACAAGCTCCCCTCCTCTCATTCAAGTTGAACACTGCTCATTCTTGTACAAGGTAATGCTGGTTAAACTCATCTATGTTTAAGTGTATTATTTGTTATTTAGAAATTGTTTTCATGCACAAAGGATGCATGCTTCTTGGAATTGGTTAGAGATCTGGGAATTCTACAACTTCATTGTTTCATATCTATGTTATTGGTGTTTTCTTGACATGAAAATTGCTGTATATACCTAACTTGTAAAATTCCATGAGCTTGGAGATCAGTATACATCCTTGAAGCCAACACTGTACTCTGTACACCAACATTCGTCACATTGAAAATTTTGCTTCTGGTCTGTTAATTAATACACTAGTTTTATTGTAAAAACATGTGAAATAATTAGGCATCTAATGCAATATGGTTAATTATAGGTATTGTGCTATACAGTGTATGTCTAGGACATATTTATCTTACATAACTGAAACTTTATTTCTTTGTACTCATTTGACCCAGCCGATCCTCCAGACAACCCCTAAGAACCACCATTTTATTTTCTGCTCCTGATATTTAGATCCATCAGATTTGTGATATGGGTAGTTTTTTTTTTTCTGGGTCTGGTTAATATCACTCAGCGTAATATCTTATGATTTTATCAAATTTACTACAAGAAGATGGGGATTATCTTTTAAAAGGCTAAATTATATCTTGTCATAAGTATATATGACATTTTCTTCACTCATTCATCTATTGATGGATACCAAAGATGCTTCTTTGTCTACCTACTGAGAGTAACTGTGTTAAACATGTTGATTGCATTTTTTTTCCATGGGAGATAGAGGAAAAAGGAGTCACTTTGGAAGCCAGCAGGACAAAGTATACCTTCTGTAGCTCGAGAAAATTTAGTGGAGAGATACATTGAATTTCCAAGGGGTTTGTAGCAACTCACAATGCCTTGGAAAGCCAGGGCACAAAACTCAGGAGCCTAGTGGAGAGATCAGTTACAGAGAAGGAACTCTTTGATTGTGTGTTGCCTACCATAGAAAGACAAGAGACTTATCTCAAGTCCTCATAAGGGAGAGAAAGGGCATCAGATGCTAGGGGAAAATACTTGAGGAAACAGGGTGGCATAGAGAATTTACGAAGTAATGCAAAAGTGTTGTTTCCAGGGTCAGTCAGGGCTTGACTCAAATATCAACATGCACCTACTAAATTCCTTGCTTTTATTACATTTAAAAAAGAATGAGGTTCTAATTTGTAAAGTGGGGACAAATCTGAATTGAGGATTTGATGTTAAGGTTGGAGATGCTTCAGGTGATATACATAGGAACAGCAGGAACTAACAAACTGGTGCCTGAAGTATTGATAGAAATGTATAGTGGCATAATGGAAAATGATCAGAGGGGAAGGATGGATGGACTGCTGTTAACCACTGAAGAATTTGCTTCCTGAGGCTGGGATTACTATATATGGGGTGAAATTAGCATCCAGTCCTCCTTGCCACTCTTAGAATGTGAGAGAAGGAAGTATCTGGACAAGAACAACAGGCTGTAGGACAAATTCAAATAACTCAGTATAATGTCCCTCTGAATAATACAACTTTAAACTGGACAATAGACCAAAGATGTCATTTCTGAAAACAAGATATGGAAGTGAGGAATAAGTATACTAAAAATACTTAAGACTGCTAATCATCAGGGAACTGAAGATTTAAACCACAAAGAGCTGTAAGGTCATACTTGTTAGGACAAACATATGCAGATTGATAGATGATGGTATTGGCATGGATTTGGAAACAAGACAAAATTTATAAATTAGTGGTAGGGATGTTAGTATTACCATTATGCAAACAAAGAAGATTCCTCAAGGAAATTAAAAATATAAATACCATTTGATTCAATAATTCCATTACCAGATATATATCCAAAGAAACTGAGATCAATTGAAGAGATATTTGAACTCACACATATATTGTAGAATTATTTACAATAGTAAAGAAATGAAATCAAATCTGTGACTATAACCCCTCCCCCCACACAAATAAGACTCATCCTCAAAAATGTGAAATGCCATCATTTATTACAACATGGATGGAACTGGGAACCATTATATTAAGTTAAATAAGGTACACCTAGACAAGTACCACATGATCTCACATATATGTGGTATTAAAAATGTTGGTCTTAAAGAAGGTGAAAGTTGAAGAGTAGCTACCAGAGGCTAGAAGTGAGGGTGATGAGGAAAGTTAGTTGGCCTGAATGTTAAAGTTAGACAGAAGTAAATTCTGGAGTTCTACACAGTCTGTTAATCATAGATAATAATGCTCTGTATATTTAAAGAAATACTGGAGAGGCTATTACATACTTTTACTCTAAAATGATAAATATTTGAAAAGATAGACATGTATACCCTAATTTGAACATCATACAATATGGTTGTACACTGAAATACCACACATACATCTGTAAAGATGTCCCACGCCTATGTTTCAGTTTTTAAAAATTCATAAAACCACTTTTAATCCCAATGGGAAAAATGTTGATTAATTTATTTTCATTCTTTGCTTTTGAGGTATGGTCTCCTTATATATCCCAAGTTTCAGCCAACTTGGAATAATGACACTGGCCTCACTCTCTTCCAAGATTTCATGGTTTGGGGAAGTGCAGGTGGTGCCCAGGTAAGTCACACACCCACACACACACACACACACACACACACACACACACACACACACACGTTATATGCATGTGTGTATGTGTGTTTGTTTTCTAGAGGCAGATCATTACATCACTCTATCTACAGGATAACTTTTAGGGACATTTATGATCAGGAGGCATTAATTGTAGAGATTTATTCTACTTCCCTCCCAGTTCCTACTTATGACAAATAAATGAAGAATCAGAAAGTAAAGGCCTTATCAAAAGGCACACATTTGTTCAGGAACATAGCCAAGAGTGAAGACACAAATATGTGTTTGGTAGTGTAACATCCTGCTTTAGTCTTAAGAAAAAGATGGCTCCTCATTTACTTTGATCAATGTATTTTATTTTCTATTTTTTCTCAAAAACAGATTCATGTTTACTCATTTAGTTTTTACTGCCACAGTGACTTTTAAAAAGGGATCTTTGCCTGTTTTCTATGAATTAGGAACAACTAAAATTACCTAGTGTCATCAATACTGCCAGGATATATTTGCATGCATTCATCTCTGCAAATTAGAACTATGCAGCATGGGATACATAGATGAGGAAATATGTCTGTAAAACATTTAGGGACTAGGGAAAAACCTAAACATTACTTGCGTTCTCAATAAAGGAAGACAATTTTGAACATATAAAGCCTAAAATTTTA